TACATTTTTTTTGTAATTTTGGGAGGGGAAGAGATATTGGAGAATGCTTAAATGGGGATGCAGCCTGACCCATTATGACGATGAGATGTATAGGATACTATGTTGAAAAGGAACTTTACAATGGCAGGGTGTGTGGTGGGGTGGGGTGGGGGAGACAGGAGGAGTTGAGGAGGTGGGAAGGGAAGTGATGATAGGGGGAAAACAAAGGAGGATGCTTGCTATGAAATGTAACTCATTACTCATGTAACTGTAACCCCTCTGTACAACATTTTAAGGGTGGATTAATGAAGACAGGAAGAGGGGGAGAATGTAGCCACGAATCTAATGTATATCCTATAAAATTAAGAAGAGTGAGAGTTTATTGGGGAATGATGGATGAAAATGTTGAAAGGCATGACATTGGTCAAGGTGTATCATATTCATAACCTGCTTTGTTAAAATGGCAGCTCCCTTGTACAAGTACTTAAAGATTAAAAAGAAAAAGAATATAGACTTTGGTGGGCACCAGTTGGCTCATGCCTGTAATCTTAGCTACTCAGGAGATTGAGATCTGAGGATTGTGGTTCGAAGCCAGCCTGGGCAGAAAAGTTTGTGAGACTCCATTTAACCATTAAAAAGCTGAGAGTGGAGCTGTGACTCAAATGGTATAGTGCTAGCCTCGAGCTCAGAGACAGTGCCCAGGCCCTGAGTTCAAGTCCCAGGACACACACACACACACACACACACACACACACACACACACACACACACACACACACACACGAATATGAGTGTCAATTAGAAGCATGTTCTTCTCTCCTGGTTTGGCCACTTAATCTCTTCTCCAATCCTCCCTCTTCTCTCTTTCTCTCTGTTTGACTCTGTCTCTTTCTCTTGAGCCAGCCTTATCCCTTAGTTTGACTCAATCTCTCTTAGCTTTGTTTTCCACTGTAAAACGATGAGAATAGAAATAATGATGTGAACCGGGCGCCGGTGGCTCACGCCTACTACTCAGGAGGCTGAGATCTGAGGATCACGGTTCAAAGCCAGCCCGGTAGGAAAGGCTGTGAGACTCTTATCTCCAATAAACCACTAGAAAACCAGAAGTGGTGCTGTGGCCCAAGTGGTAGAGCACTAGCCTTGAGCTGAAGAGCTGAGGGCAGTGCCCAGGCCCAGAGTTCAAGACCCATGACCAAAAAAAAAAAAAAAAAGAAATACTGATGTGATGATATTACGAGGACTGATTGAACTAGTGCTTATAAATTTCTTAGCATAGTGGTGGGCATATGCTTATGTCTTATTCATGCTGGGTATGGAATAATACTCTCAATTCTAGATACTTCTTGTAGACATGAAGATACTGTGTGTGTGTGTGTGTGTGTGTGTGTGTGTGTGTGTGTAACAGATGGGACTATTGTGGTCATAGATCTTGTGATTGTAAAGATATGATGGAAGGTATGGTATTTTTTAAAAAATATTTCTGATACTGGGGCTTGAACTCAGGCCTGGGCTCTGTCTCTTAGCTTTTTCATTCAAAGCTGGTACTCTACCACTTGAACCACATTTCTACTTCTGGATTTTTGGTGGTTATTGGAGAGAAGAGTCTCATCACAGGCTTTTCTACCCAGGCTGGCTGCAAACCTCAGCTCTCAGCTTCTTGGAATCACAGGCATGAGCCATAGGTACCTGATGGAAGCCATGGTTTTGCATAAGTAGCATTATACATTACAGTATAAAATACAGAGTAAATTTTCTTGTTCAGTTATCAACATGCCTTAGAGGCTCCTGGATGGTATCCATGCAGTAATTTCTTTCTGGGTAATCATGACTTCCTTTGATAATGTCTACAGATAGTTTTGACTGTCATAACTGAGAGGTGCTTTTGGCATTTGGTAGGAAATGACCAGGGATGCAGGCAGATATCCTGCTTTGCCAGGTAATGAGGCTTACAGGTCAATTCTGCAAGAGAAAACTCTCCAGTTTACCATACTGGCATCTCCCAGGTAGTCACCTTGGTCCATCTCTATATCTTTATCTCTATCTCCACACTCTGGAATTGTTGCTTGAAGGTTATGCAAAAGATGGAATGTCTAATTTATGTGTTTTGATAAGGGAATCTCATCTTACTTTGGATCACTATTTCATGTTAGTGATTTCAAAAATGCTCAAAGATAATCTTGAGTCAAAATATCACTTGGCATTATACAAATATGTATAGCACTGGCCAGTATGAGGGACTGGACTCATGTCTTTGTGCTTGGAGGCAGTCATTCTATCACTTGGACCACATACCTAGCCTGCTTTTACATTGGTTATTATTTTTTGAGTGCCAGTCCTGGGGCTTATAGTCAGGGCTTGGGCTCTTGAACAATTTTCGTCAAGGATAGTGCTCTACCACTGGAGCCACAGCTCCACTTCCAGCTGTTTCAGCAATTAATTGAAGATAAGAGTCTCATAGACTTCTCTGCCCAGGCTGGCTTTACACCACCATCCTCAGATCTCAGCCTCCCGAGTAGCTATGATTACAGGTGTGAGTCATTGGTGCTTAGCATATTGGCTGTTTTTAAGGTTAAGTCTCACTTTATGCTTGGGCCGGTCTGTTCTATGATCCTTGTGCTTTCCTGTAGCTGGTATGACAGATGTGCCAGGATCTCCATAGATTAGCTGAGATGGAGTCTCTTGAACTTTTCTGACTGGGGCTGGTTTAGAACCATGATGTCCCAAATCTCTGCCTCCCAAGGAACTAGGCTTGGGCCACTGTACCCAACTCAGCCTATATACTTTTTATATATTGATTTAAAATAATAATTAACAAAAAGAAAAAAAATAAGAAAATGATTGGCAATCTTTTGGAAACATAGTCCAGTCTTTTCTGGTTTTAGGGTTTTTCTTCAAGTTTAACTCTTCAATTTTTAGCAAGTATTTCATCATTTTAATAGCTGTATCCCTGATTCCCAAAGAGCTGGGACTTCAGGTGTGTGCTACCAGGTCTGGCAATATTGGATGTGTACAATGTATGCATACACATCTGTGAAGAGCATAAGAAAGCCCGAGGAGCAGACGCAGCAATGGGCTGGGAAGTGGATCAGTTCTCACCTCTCATGGGGTGCTATCATTGGCTCCAGTTTTTTTTTAACCATCATTCCTTCTGATTTCTGTACTGCTTGCCTATTAACTTCCAGACACTATCGCATTCAGTTTTGTGAACTTCAAAATTGGATAGAAGTGCAGCATTCTTATTTTTGTTATTTGCTTTTTCATGATTTATTGAAAATTTATTTTTTTCTCATCCTATTTTTGACCTTCATTATTTAGAGATTATACACTTTCAACCTCTGCCTTTAGTGGTTAATTTAGGTGATTTAACATGCACATTCTAGAAATATAAATATATGAATATTATTTTATAATTTCTTATATATGTCTATGAACACACACATATAAGATATATCTGTATATTATATATAATACATGTTTATTTAGAAATATGAGTTTCATGGACTTTCCTGCTGGGGCTGCCTTTAGAGTACAATCTTCAGATCTCAGCTTCCTGAGTAGATATGTTGCAAGTATGAACCACTGATACCTGGCTCTGTGAGACTCTTATCTCCAATTAACCAGCCAAAGGCCAGAAGTAGAGGTATGGCTCAAGTGGTAGAGTGCCCACCATGAGCAGAAAAAGCCAGTTGAGAGCACAAGGCCCTGTGTTCAAACCCAGTATTGGCACGCGCATGCCATCTTCCTGAGTGTGACAGAGAGCAAACAAGTGTGTGTGTGTGTGTGTGTGTGTGTGTGTGTGTGTGTGTAGGGTCAGTGTACTACAGTTCATCACACGGGGCTCAACATTTTCACAAATACCCTCAGAGAATCCTGTGTCTGACGGGAAAGCCATCATGGGCCTTGATAGGTGATGATCAGTTAAATGTCAAAAGACATTGGGAAATTAAGCGTTGGGCTAGAAGATCCCATAACCAAGCAGAGGGCAGAGTTGGGGGAGCAGACCTACCTCTTCTGGCTTCCCTTTTCTCCTCCCCATCATGCAGTTTGGCCTCGCAGACACCAGGCCTGTCCTATATAATCCCAAAGACCGTGGTTCTCTCCCTGACAGCATTTCCAGGGGTTGCTGCCAGTTGAGAAACACTTCCAGGCTAGATCCGGCTTCTGTACAGTAAAGTAGACTGAAGACCTCATTGCCTATGGTGGTGACACCTATATGGATTCTTTTCTCAGAACAGAAATGTCCTGTTGTGAAACTAAGAAGCTTCATGCCCAATGTGCATGGGTGGTTGGAGGAAGTATGCCTTAAGGGGAAGTACTGATTTTAGGTTCTCACCTAGACTACCAGGTTGGTAAGAGCAGGGGCCACCATCAGTCATTTGGGTGTAACCCATCAAAGTCGGCTCTCCGTCCCTCCACAGCGTGGTGTTGGCTGACTTGTATTTGTAATCGATACATGCTATTATTCTAGTTCATTGCTAATTCCTTGCATCGCCAATCAATCTAAATTATTCTTGATTTATTTGTAAGAAGGGTGCTTAAGAAAAGTTCTTTTTTCTTTCTTTTTTTTTTTTGTTTTTGTTCCAGTACTGGGGCTTGAACTCGTGGTCCAGGGCTGGTTCTCTAGCTTTATCACTCAAGGCTGGCACTCTTTCATTTGAGTGAGTCTCAGCTCCACTTCTGGCTTTTTGGTGTTCATTTGTAGTTGAGACTTTCCTACCTGGGCTGGCTTTGAACCATGATCCCTAGATCTCAGCCTTACTGGATAGCTAACATGAGCCACCAATGCCAGGCTTCAACTCAAGTTCTTGTAGAGACTGGGTTCATGGCTGTTTTCCCTGGATCAAGATATCCCTTCTGCATCAAATTCTACCCAGTCCTTTGTCTGCCTTGTCCTTCTCATAGCTCTGACAGCACAACTGGGCTCATGGGCAGAGCCACAGAGTGAGGGGCAGGGGTGAGCAGAGAAAAAAAGAGGAAGGAGGTGCAGAACCTATTGACTTCTATTTTCCTTCTAAAATTAGGAATAATTAGCCGAGAAGATGCAGAGGAGCTCCTGGAGAACATGGCTGAAGGAGCATTTCTGGTCCGTGTCAGTGAGAAAATCTGGGGGTACACCCTTTCCTACCGCCTGCAGAGGGGCTTCAAGCATTTCCTCGTGGATGCTTCTGGGGACTTCTACAGCTTCCTGGGAGTGGACCCCAATCGTCACGCCACCCTCACAGATCTCATTGATTTCCACAAGGTAGCCAGCCCTCCTCAGGGTGTTCTTGGGCATGACAGGGGCAGAAACTTGGGTTGAAGAGAGCCAAAGCAAGGCTGTGAGCGCCCAGCATGGGCTGCCAGTCTCATAGCTATAGAACATTTGGGCAGAAGAGACCCAAGGTTGTCCAGGCCCAGTGTACTCCTTTGTCTCCGGCTGTGATTCACAGCTGCACCTGTCACCCTGTCCCTAGGCTGCTTCTCATCTGAGGACCTGAGTGCTCCCTGTGGTCACCAACAAGGGTTGGGTAGGTTGATCCTTCCTCCAAGTCTGTATCTCAATCTTGGAAATGTCACCTGAAAGATACCTTACACCAGGCCTCTGGTAGCTTCTGAGTGTGGCAAGACACACTAGAGAGAGCGGATGATCTAGACATGGGAGAATGAATTCAAATCATTAAGACCAGGCAAATGGGTATATTTAATATTTAGTGAGACAGTGATGGTGTCTCTAAGTCTCCAGCATCTACCTGAGCTCTGAAGATGGAGAAAGGATCACAGAATTGTTTGACTCTGCTTATTGGGCTTTTGCTTTTTTTTTTTTTTTTGGGTCTGGTCATGGGGCCTGAACTCTGGGCCTGGGCGCTGTCCCTCAGCTCTTCAGCTCAAGGCTAGCACTCTACCACTTGAGCCACAACGCCACTTCCGGCTTTTTTCTTTTTGCTTCTGTGGTGCTGAGGAATCGAACCCAGGGCCTCATGCATCGCAAGGCAAGCGCTCTACAACTGAGCCACCTTCCCAGCCCTGGGCTTTTGCTATAACAGGGACTCTCAGAGACGGGTAACTTTATCTCATTATGGATATTACCAGGGCCTGAAAAACAGCTCTGAACCTGCCCTTATGTGTAAAGCCCACAGAAAACTACCCATTCATCCTAGTGTGGTGGTGCTTGTAATCTCAGTATTTGGGAAGTTAAGGCAGGAGGGTCATGAGCTTAAGGCCAGTCTCGGCAAAGTAGGAAAAACTGTTTCAAAGAAGAAATAAAGATAGATGGAGGGGAAGAAAGAGAAAAGAGGACAGAGAGACAGACACAGGCAGATGCAGAGACAGAAGAGAGAGACAAAGAGAGCCAGAGAGGAACAGGTAGAAGAAAAATGAAGGAGGAAGAGGAGGGAGAGGAAGGAAAGCAGGGAGGAATGAAGGTAGGAAAATAGGGAAGAAGAAATTGAGTGCCAGTGGCTCCAGCCTGTAATCTTAGCTATACAGGCGGCTGAGATCAGGAAATTGAGATCTGAGGATTGCAGCTCAAAAGCCAACCCAGGTAGACAAAGTCCCTGTGAAACTCTTATCTTCATTTAACCACTCAAAATAAAACAAAAATAAAACAAGAAGTGGAACTGTGGCTCAATGTAGTAGAGTGCTAGTTTTGAGCAAAAATGCTCAGCCACAGTGCCCAAGCTCTGAGTTCAAGCCCCACAACTGACCAAAACCAAAACCAAAACCAAAACGAAAAAAGAAAGATAAGGAGGAAGGAAAATTTCCCCATTCACAAATACCTGGTATAGACCACTGCCCAGAAATCGGGAGTAACCAGGATCAGCTGTCTCCTTGTGTTGGGAGAAGCCAGAGCAAGCAGAAGATGAGTCAGACACTGCGCCTGCTCTTCACTCCTTGCCCTCATGTAATCTCAAAGCTCTATTAGGGAGGATGTTAGCCCCAGCATATTAGCCCACTCACAGTTCAGAAAGCCAATGCCAGCGAGGCTGAAAAGCTTGGCTTTGGTCTGGCGGCTGACACCAGCTAGAACCAGGAGTTAAGCTGCAGCTGTCAGTCCACAACGTGTGCACCCTGCCAGTGCCACAATATTTGTTTGCCCTGTCTATCACAAGCTCCTTTAGCAATGATGAGCTTCTTGTTCCGGAAAGTATTTCAGGCAAAGGGTAAATGCCTGTCTCTCAGGGCAGGGCTCTGAAGGAAGGCCAGATCAGATAGCTGTGAAGCCTTTTATTCTCTTCCAAATGTAAACTCTTTTGAGACTGACCATTGGATTTCTGGCACTACGAGGAGGTATCATATGTGCCCACATGGAGATCTCTTATAAATTGAATTTTAATCACACCATTGTCTTCTTGATTACATTGTAAGAAACATCAAACACAACACCAGGTGAAAGCCTCATTCATGTTAAATCTCTGTTTCTGTCCTTCCTCTCCAGCTTGCTGGTAATTTCTGGGAACTAATCTAAAAACTTATGGACATAAGGGAATGCATTTTTTTAAAATCACTTTTCACAGAAATCAGATAACTCTTTATTTACAGCTCAGCAACTTTCTATATTAAAACATGATTAATAAATCATGAAATTAAGTGTGTGGAAGCCTGGTCTTTAGAATCAGAACACTGCTTTAAATCCTAACATCATTATAAAGCATGATTTTAGGCCACTACTTAAAGTCTGAATATTGGCCTAAAGTCTTCTCTTGAGTTCACTGTGCAGTTTCAATGAGATAATAGGATGGTTTTTTTTTTTTTAGTCCAAGATTGGGACTCAAACTTGGTATCTGATGTTTTCACTCTTTGGTGCTCTACCACCTGAGCCATGCCTGCCATCCCAGAGATATTATTTTGTAATGTGTTGGAACAAAACACCTAACACTTGCGTCGGCTGTTATAAAGATGTGTCTATGAGATCTTTGGGTGTCCGTACAGTGCCAATCCTTGTAAATGCACGAGGTCCCCAGGAATCAATGTGAATCACAGCTTAATCACTTACATTCCTCCCTCACACCCATTTCGCAGCTTCCAGTTTCTTACGACCTTGAACGGTGCTCCAGAGCCCTCTGCACGATGCATGTGTCACCTTCCCTATGGACACACAAGTAGTAACTTTCTAGGATGGATTGCTGGAACTGGATTTGCTGGAAAGAAAAGTAGGCACATTTTAATTAGCAAAGATCTGCCAGATTGCCCTCCCAATGCATGATGCCAGTTTACGTTCCTGCCAAAACCGTATCAGGCTTTCTCCCTATACTGCTGCCAGCGCTGAGGATTTATTGGTGATTTCATGATTATTTTTTCCCTGTCAGTGAGCAGACACTGTGTCTCCCAATTGTTTAGCTTGCATTTCTCAGATTTCCCCTGAAGCAAAGGATCTTTTCATATACTCACTGGTCACTGTGATTTCTTCTTCAGCAGGAAGCCATCTCTTCATATCTGCTGTCTATTTTTTGATTTGGATATCTTTCTTATTGATCCGGTCATTTCTTCAGCTTCTCAATGGCTCTTCAGTTATGTCCATGATGCCTTTTTAGTTCTTTCACTGAAAAATTTCAGTAAAAATGTCATGCCCATTCTTGCTTCATGGATGACTCATTTTATTCTGTTGAGAAAGTTCATGCACAGCTCTCAAAGGCTCCTTCTGTTTGCTTTATGAACTTGGTATTTTCTTAGGAATCAGTTCTATGATTGACTTTGGCATCTTTCTTTTATAGTCATAGTGATCCTTAAATATTTATAAATTTTGCATTTATGATGTGATATTCCAACTTTAATTTCTGGTCTACTCATGGTTGCCCAGTTTCTCTTCCTCTACCCCCAACCCAGTCTCTTCATGCTCTAGGGGTTGGAGTTGACCATAAGTAGCTTATTTTTGGCATGAGAGTATTTGAACTTTAGGGGTGTCCTTTGTCTATCCAGGAAGGGGGTATCATAGGATATTTCCTACCATTTCCTGATCTATCTGAGGTTAACATGTTGGATCTTCATCTTCAGCATGACTTCAACTTTAGCTTTAATTCTACATTCAGTCTCTAGACCATCTATTTCTATCTTGTTTTCAAGATCCTTCCTTTGTCGCTGGCCTCCCTCCTACTATTTTTTTATTTAAAAAGTGTTTCCAGGGCTGGGAAGGTGGCTCAGTGGTAGAGTGCTTGCCTTGCATGCGTGAGGTCCTGGGTTTGATTCCTCAACACCACATAAGCAGAAAAAGCTGGAACTGGCACTGTGTCTCAAGTGGTAGAGTGCTAGCCTTGACTGAAGAGCTGAGGGACAGCGCCCAGGCCCAGAATTCAGGCCCCACGACCGGCAAAAAAAAAGTGTTTCCAGGTACCAGTGACTCACATCTATAATACTAGTCACTCAGGAGTCTGAGATTTGAGGATCATAGTTTAAAGCCAGTCAAAGCTGGAAAGTCTATGAGACTCTTACCTCCAATTAACCACCAAAATTTGAGACATGGAGCTGTGGCTAAAGTGGTAGAGTACTAGCATTCAGCAAAAAAGTTCAGGAACAATACCTGCTCAGAACCTGAGTTCAAGCCTGAGGACTGGCATAAGACACACACTACGCACACACATAACTCACATACACACACTCATACATTCTATATTGTAATTCTATGTTGTCAGGACTGGCACTATATATAAAACAATTTTATATGTGTGTGTGTGTACATATATACATATATGTATACATATGCTTATATAGATATATGTAAATATATACATAGATATATATGTAAATATCTATGTATATCTATGTATATATGTGTATATACACATATGTGTTTATACATATATATACTTATATATGTATATATATAAATAATTTGTTCTGGGGCTTGAACTCAGGACCTCTGTCACTTGGCTTTTTGCTCATAACCACTTGAGACACACTTTTACTTGTAGCTTATTGTTGGTTAACTAGAGACAAGAGTCTTGAAGAGTCTGAACCACAGTTTTCAAATTTCAGCCTCCAGAGTAGCTAGGATGATAGGTGTGAGCCACCAGTGCCCAGCAATGTCTTTGATTTTCCAGTACTTGAAGGGCTCCTTTCTTAGAGCAGGAATCAGGATGTTGAGGCAGACTCTTTGAGGTGACTTTTTTTTAAACCACTTTCATAATTACAAGTGAATTTTCCTTTTGTTCTTCTATTTTAGGAGGAAATCATCACCGTTTCAGGAGGAGAGCTGCTGCAGGAACCCTGTGGGCAGAGAGACAGCCCGCCAGACTACCATCTGTTGTTTGAATGATTTTTTTTCTTCCCCTTATGAATTGGATTCCTTTGGGCATCCTTAAAAAAAAAACTCGGCAAACTTTCCAACTTAAATGTTACAGCCTTCTGGAAGATCCAAGGGGAACTCATACATGAATCAATCTCAAGGAATGTGCATAGATGAAATTTGTGTGACTGTTCCCATTGTGGAGCTCAGAACAGAAATGGCTGATAACCAACGTAGCCCTTTCAGGGAGAGTCTAGTGATGGCGGCAGAAGACAAAGCCTATTGGTCATGGCTGCCCTTGTTGGAACTCCCTGAGTGCACGGGTCAGTTTTTAACAACCCGAAAGGATTTCAGTGCCTAACTCTGAATTTAACATATGGTAGATATTCAGTCAATGATGGTTGAATGAAAGCATTTTGGAGAGCTTTCCAATGCTTGTCAGTAATGACTTCTAGTAAGTTATTTCCCCTTTCTCATTCTTTATAAAGTCGTAAAAATGAAGGATTTGTGTGGAGTCCACAGACACTGCGTCTTGCATGGAGTTCATTGCCCTCATTGATAAGACCACTGGGATTACCCAAGGCTTTCAGGCCAGGACTGATGATTGACTTTGTGCTACTTTCCTTATTCAACTTCTTCTGTCACCTTCCTATGTCTTCGAATCTTATTATGACCCTGATTTAGTAATGTTAACCAGCTATTTCATGTACTCTTTTTTTAAAATGTGTCAGTGCTGGGACTTGAACTCAGGGCCTTAGATTTTTCACTCAAGGCTGGTACTTTACCCCGTGAGCCATACCTTCACTTCTGGCCTTGTTTGTGGTTCTTTGGAGATCAGGTTCTTATAAACTTTCCTGCTGTGCCTGATTTGGAACCATGATTCTCAGATCTCAGCCTTCTGAGTAGCTAAGATTACAGATATGAGCAATTGATACCTGGCTTTCATGTATTCTTATGGATGTGTCCCCAAATTGGGGAAGGTTATGAACTTAAGGATGGTTTTTAGACACTATAGGGACCTTTCCTCTCTAGGGTACTTTCCGTATTCATGTTATATGCTGATCTTTCATCTGGTCTTTCTGCTGGTCTTTCATCTAAGTAGGTTCTTTATATTGACCAGAAGACTCTTCCAATGACTCCTTAGTAACTCTCAGGGATGGTGCCTATTTGTGTGGAATTTATGTTCCACATTTATGGCCAAATACATGGGGCAGTTTATGATGGGTAGATTATAGGCTCTGGAGTCGAGAAGGTTCAAATCTTCCCCCTTTCATGTACTCACATTCTAAATGCTCACGTCATTGTATTTGGTGAATGCAAGAGGACAGTAGGAGTCTGGGTTCATCAGGGAACTCCTTTCTTTCACTGGCTAGCTGTCTTCAACATCTCTTATGTTCTGCTTAACCTCTGCCCACACCCATTCTTTGGAGCTTGGATCACTGGTCTCCCCAGCCACCATCCCTGTAGCCAATTTTGCATGGGGTTTGCATTTCCTGCCTGTGTTGATCAGGATCACATGGTGCTTTCCCACATATTGTACTGTATATAGGCCTCTCATCCCCTCGTATTGAGGAGTCAACATTCAAAAGGGCTGGTAAGTTAAGGCCTATAGTAGCTGACACTAGATCAGTGGGAGCCTGAGGCTGGTTGGCTCTTTCTCCCCCCTTCTTCCTCTTTGAGCTTCTGCTGTAAAGGGACAGCTCTTACTATGGACCCATAGAAGGCAGTCCTGTAAGATGGAATAATGATGTGAGGAGACCAGGCAGTGGGAAGATCAGTATGACACAATACATTCTATTTTATGCACTTCTCCCTACTTTACTCTGGGATTATATCCCAGACTCAAGTCTCAAGTCAGGATCTCCGGCCACCAGGATCTACCTGGGTAAGTACCCACAGTATACTTGTGTTTAATAAATATCAGTGTTGCAACGTTGCTCTATAACTTCCTCTCAGTCTGCCTGCCTCCCTGGGTAGGTAGTGATAGAGGCGCTGCACTGAGAGTGCAGAATTAATTTAAAGCCATAGCTGGTTTTATTCCAATTTCCTCATTCCTACTGGGACTCAGAGGTACCGAGCTTCTATTTGGCTCTGTTCCATTTCGACCGTGAGAAGTTGTTGAAATCATTTAACCTCTCTAAAACTACACACAAGTGGGAAGAGGAATGTTCGGTATAGCCACCGTTGGCTTTTGCTAGCTGGCAGTATCAGTTAAACAACAAATAGGGAAACTCTGTCCAAATGAAATGTCTTATGAACCGCAGCTACAGACACCACAACAATGTCATGCTGAGCAAGGGACATGTCAGGGGAAATGAAGTGATGATTTCCAACGTGTTGAATGAAACTTCCAGCAGCAGCTCTGAACGCAGACCAAGATGGGTTGAGAACCTGAGTCCCCGGGCTGTTGTTCTTGTCAGCTCCTAATTAATATGTGAAAGACAACAGCTGAATTTTTCTATCCCTAGCACATTTATTTTGTTTTATTTGGGGTCTGCACTTTCTGCATGTCTCATATATTTTAGGTTTTACCTGGCTTTAAAATAAATTCCTTATAAGTTGTCCTGCAAATGGAATTACTGTCTGGAAAACGGCAATTTCATCTCGAGAGTTTTATTATGCTAGTAAATGTCAGGATTCTCAAATAAAAGAATTTCCCATCTCTCTCTCTCTCTCTCTTTTTCTAAGCTCTACACATATAATGAAAAGCAGTCAGTTAGCTACAAGACTCAGTAGAGGGAAATTTTACAATCTATAGCTAGAAAGAGAAGTTGTGAAAGGTGAAAGGTACTATGCAACTATGGAAGACAAGTTTTAGGGACTTAAGGGAAATGGGGTACAGATGCAGGGTGATTCTCTTCATGGTAGCTATTCTTGGGGATTGTCTGAGGGTTCATGGGATAAAAGGGGAGAGAGCACTATTTAAAGGAAAACAAGAGCTGTAATATCTGGGACTTGTTCCTTTGTTTCCCTCCTCCCTTCCTTTTGTGACATTACTGGGGCATGAACTCAAAGCCTTTCACTCTTAATCAGCTTTCTTGCTCACAGATGGCACTCTGCCACTTGAACTACACCTCCACCTCCAGCTTTTTGCTGGTTAGTTGGAGATGAAGTTTTGCAGATTGTTCTGCCTGAGTTGGCTGTGAACTGTGATCCTCTAGGTCTTAGACTCCTGAGTAACTAAGATTATAAGTGTGAGTTAGCTTCTTGAATATTCACCTTCAGGACTAACTTGTATTTCCCAATGAATCTCTCCATTCTCTGGGCCATGCAACATGCTGCTTGTTTCAGACAATGGTTATGAAAATGACGTAAGATTCTGTAATCATACTGACAAATGTTGGTGTAAGTTCTGTGAAGTGTGTGTGTGTGTGCATGTTTGTGTATGAATTCTCACAGTCATGCTGAGGGAGACTACATTCTCCTCTTCATCTTGTACTTAGGGAATCCAAGGCTCAAAGAGGCTCTGTATGTTCCATGGGATGCTTCTCTGGGAAGGCTCAGAGCAGAGATGAATCTGCACAGGCTGCTGAGTCTGCCTAGATCCTAAACTAGTACTTCTCAAACTGGAATGTGTGAGCACAACGTGTTCTGATGTTAGAAGTGTAGAGCCTCTTGCAAAGGGTCTGGGATTGGACATGAGCTCCTGAATTTCTAAGAAGCTGAGGGGAGGGGTCTTCTGTGGCTGCACAGAAAGACCACACTTTGAGAACCCAGCTTTGTGTGTGTGTGTGTGTGTGTGTGTGTGTGTGTGTGCGTGTGTGCATGTGCACTGGTTCTGGGACTTGAATTCAGGGCCTGGGCATTTTCCCTTAGCTTTTCACTCAAGGTTCTCTCTGCCACTTGAGCCACAGCAATACTTTCAGCTTTTTGGTGTTTTTTATTTTTATTTTTTTTTTGGGGGGGGAGCGTAGATAAGAGTTGCATAGATTTTTTTTCTGCCTGGGCTGGCTTTGAACTGTCATCCTCAGATCTCAGCCTCTCAAGCAGCTAGGATGACAGGCAGGAGTTACTTGTTTTTACTTTTTCATGCCAGTGATAATACTGCTAGGGACATGGGTATACATCTCATGATGTTTGTGTTCCAAAGTCCCAAACCACTGAACACTCCAGCAAAGTCCAGCTTACAGATTCGGAGCAATATTTGCTAAGGATATTCAATTCCAGCTCCCCAGTCTCAGTACATTTCCTGACTTTCCCTTTCAACGTCCCATGACTTGTCTGGCATGTGTTCTCCTTTGAGCAGTAAGTTAGTACACCTAACTTTAGCTACAGGTGTACTCCTGGCAGGCTTGAGCTATCTATAGTCATCCATGAAGCAAGCTTGGTAGATAGTCTGACTCTCTGTCCTGATTTGCATTTCCTGAGAAGAGCTGGTGTTGAGAATGTTTTTTTGTTTACTTGTCAGCCATATATATAGCTCCTTTGGAGATATATCCATTCAGGTCATTTTCCCATAAAAATTCCAGATTACTGTTTTTTTTGTTAATGCCTATTCTAGATATTAACTCACTTCTGTAGGAATACTTGCCAGCATTGTCTCCCATTCTCTAGTTGTCCCTTCACTACGTTGGCTGTTTCCTTTGATCTGCGGAAGCTCAGAATTCCACAGCATCCCATTTGCCGCTCGTGGAGTCTTATCCAGAAAAAACACTGCTTTACTAATGTCTTGAAATGTTTCCCAGGTGGAATCCCTAGGGAAATGCAACTCAAAATGTCATCTCTCCCCACTCAGAAGGGCTATTGCCAAACAAAAAAAGTAAAAAATAAGAAATGTTTACAAGCATGCTGAGCTTGGGAAGCATGGGAACTCGTATACACTGCTGGTGGGAAAGCGAATGAGCCGTATGTCCACCTATTTCCCCTCCTTTTCCTTTTGCAGTGCTGGGATCAAACCCAAAGCTTCCTGTGTACTAACAAGCAATCTAACACTGAGCTCCACACTCAGCCCTTAGTATAGCCATTATGGAAAGCAGTAAGGAGACTTCACATAAAAATGATTCCGTGATTCTGCTTCTGGGTATATACCCGAAGGAAAAAGGAAAGAGATACCGGGACTTTCATGTGAATTGCAGAACTATTCACAAACAATTGGATGAACATGGATGTGGTATAAACACACAATGGAATACTACTCAACAACAAAAAATCCCAGGCATTCTTTACAAAATAGATGTCAGTAGAGGACACTGTGTTAAGTGAAACAAGCCATACAA